TTTATTGTAGAGATGAGGTCTCGCCAAATTGCCCAGGCGGGTCTCGAACCCACGGGCTCAGGCAATCCACCCACCTCAGCCTTCCAAGGCGCGGGATTACAGGCTGAGCCACTGAGCCTGGCGCTTGCTTATATCTTGACAGGACATCTAATGAGCATCTCATTTAACTTTCTGAAGCCGCTTCCCATGCAGCTGCCCCAACTCCGTGCCGCCCATGTGTTCACTGCTGTGTCCCTGTGCTCGAAGAGTCTCTGACAACGCTCACAGACATGAACGGATGGACGGGCAGAAGGGAACAGCCTGGAGGCTCAGAAGTGAGATCTCTGCCCCATGGGGAGGCTGAAATGGAGGACTCCAGAGATGGCTGCGTGTCCAGAAACCAGGTGCTAAGCTCCAGACCTCCGCAGGTCCCAGGAATGGAGAGTCTGCCCTGGCACAGGACAGAATGGAGCCTTATCTTTCAGCATCAGCACCCACCCGCCTTGGTCTGGTCCTGTTTCCAACCCCCAGCCCCAATGCTAAGCCCCCGGGGCCTGTATCCACGAGCCCAGACTGGGCAGATGAGACTCACCTGCCTTCGGCACCCCTCTCCCTCCCTCCCAGCCCAGGGGAGCCCCCCAGAGGGCAAGTTCCCCTCACGGGGGGCCGGAAGTGCCCTGGGCTCAGCCTCCTGAAGTCTGTGAAACCTTGGAACACAACCCACCATGTCTCATGGGACACAAGGTTGAGGGCGGGGCTTCCTCAGCATCACCCCGGGAGCTCTGCTCTGCCCCTGGCCCTTGGCTGCTGCTGGTGTCAGTGACTTGCCTCGAGGCCCTCCTCTCCTGGTTTCAGGGAAGGGAGCTGCTTTTAGGGAGGGGTGCAGGCAGGGAGGAGGGCGGGTCTCTTGCTTCAGGCCTCACCCTTGCTGCAGGCCTGGCCTCCCCCCTCCTGCCCAAGCCTCAGAGACAAGGACAGGTACCCCTTCTCCCATCCCTTTCAGGATCCTCCTGCTGGCTCCGTGTAGAGCCCCTGCCCGGCCCTGCGTCTCTTGTCGGCCTGGGCTGCACAGTGAGAACCCTCTGGAGGACGAGAGCCCGTCCTCTCCTCAGATCTGCCCCCAGGGGGCCAACCCTGAGCCACCTGCCGTGTGCCTTCGTGTTGGAGCAGGGACCACGGGGCTGGAGGGGCCCCAGGCGAGGGGCGGTGGGGAAGAGCGCTTGGTGGTGTCGCTCCCCAAGCAGAGGTGGGTAGTGGGTGCTTGTGGCAGGCACCACAGGCTGGGCCCGTAACCTGGCGGCCCCTCCAGCGCCTCCCCCAGCAGGGCTATGCCCTGGGCCCAGCAGCACTGGCCGGGCACCGGCTGTGTCCGTCACAGCCTCGGTCTCATCCGCCCAACGGGGACGTTCTCCCAGTAGTTCCAAGATGAGTGTTGAGGAAGTGCCCAGGAATCTTGTTCTAAGGTGAGGAGGGAAGGACCCGATGGAATCTTCTAGGTCCTCCCAGCAACTCCCCGTCATGCCCATTTGGACTCTCCCGGAAAGATCACTGACAACACCACGCGTAGCTGACATACGCCTCCTGCCACATGCCAAGACTGCCGTGAGCGCTTTACGTCCACGTGTCCTCACCACGCCAGGAGGCAGGAATCCAACCGCCCTCCATTTTAGACACAAGGAAACTAAGGACCGAGTTGCAGCAAAGGCAAGATCTGAACCTGGCAACTTGCAACGTGGTCTGAAGACCCCTGCAAACATGGCCCGACCCACCCTGTGCTCGGACGCCGGCTGCAGGTCCAGAGGGAGGTCCCCAGAGCTCCAAGGGAAGCGGTGCATCCAGGTGTGTGGAAGCTGGCACCCACTGTGGCTCCTCCCTCAGCCCTGCATCTTGCCTGGGAATGGCTCTCCCCATGTCGCACCCAGCCCCACCAGGTGCCTCTCCAGGACGCAGCCCTGCAAGTCAGATCACGCTACCAGAATCCTTCAAGGGCTGCCCACTGCCTCGGAGGTTAAAAAAAGCAACTTCCCTGTGGCCCACATGGGAGGACCCTCAGGCCCATGCTGGCCGCAATGCAGCCAGCATTTGAGGCTTGGGGCCTCTGGTGAGACGAATCACTCCCCCTCACCCCTCCATAAGGGAAAAAGGCGAGACCCACAGGGCTGTCCTGGCCGACACTGACACCTGGCACCAGGAACCTTTTCTTACTTCCAGGAAAATAAAGACACGGTGGCTACCAAAATGGATTTGCAAGACAAGAAAGTGAAAGTGGCTTCTAGAAGGCCTCCAGATATTTAGAGGGAGACTGTCGTCCTCTCCTCCCAACCCGCCTTCCCCAAAGACCATTGCCACTTTCCTCAAGAACGCAGAATTAACACGCCCAGGCGGAGGAGGCCACGCCTGTGACAGCAGCCAGTCTTCTTCAGTGCCAGGGACAAAAACTCCATGCCCAGTGAGTCAGTCGCCTTGTGTTCCGTAATCGGTGTGACAAACTCCAACCCCCGTTCCCCCAAACATGTCAGGAAGGGCTGCGGAAAAAAGATGTCCCTTTAATAAAACGTTATCAACATATATCGTACACAAACTACAATGTATCATAATTACTTTTTTTTTCCTCTCTTAATTCAGAACCAGACTACAAGGTAAGAAAAAACACAGAAACAGCTACAATGTTCCCAATAATCCGCACAAGGTCTTTTTTCAGGCAGATGGTATCTCACATGATATGATATACATGGGTCAGGAAGGGGGTAAACAAAGACCAGCTACAGGGAGGGGGGAGGGCGTGTCGATGTACAACGAACTCGGGTGTCCTCCAGGGCAAGACACAAAGGTTTCCATGGGGGCGATGAGGTGAGGGAGGCCGTGAGCACCCCTCCTGGGAGGGGACCGGCTCCGCCGTCGGGCTGTCGGTTTTTGAAAATAAAAACGAGACGGGAAACAGCACGTCCGTTTGGTCGTTGGTGTCCCCCACCTCCCACAGCGACCCCAAAGTCTCTCCATCCAGTTCCAAGCACACACAGAGCAATTCTGGCCAATATCCCGTCTTGGAAAGAGAAGGACGAATAAAGAGGAAAAACAAAGAAAACCCAAACTCCAGCCCATCCTGCCCACGCACGCTCGCACGCCACGGCGACGGGGTGAGACTGCAGCCCGGAACGTGGAGGTCGC